ATATTGGATCATCTGGGCCATTCATTTTTATTGGTGTCTGGTCCCCTTGTTCTAAAAATATATAAACTTTTAAAGGTAACATATATATTAATATAAACATAAACTGTGTATTTTTTTTTCTTTCTTTCTTTTCCAGAGCTGAGGACTGAACCCAGGGCCTTGTGCTTGCTAGGCAATTGCCCTACCACTGAGCTAAACCCCCAACCCCATAAACTGTGCATTGTACAGCCAAAGGTAATTTTTTGTTTTATGTTTGAGCAGGTAAAACATACATCAAGTGTCTTGTAGTTACTTTAGGTTTCTTTTTCCATGTCTGTAGTCAGGATTTTCAGGGGTTCTTCCTTGATCAAACCTAATCTTTTCCAACCTGGAATGAATCCATGGACTCTCACCTTATGTGGAAACAAAAGCAGAACCCCCTTCCCAAAGCAACATATCCTCAGACTCAAATTTTGAAGTCAAGATATTTTAAAAATGTATAGATTGGTTTAACCTAGCAGTCTCCACAATCAGCAGTTAGCTTGTTAACAGTCAAAAAATCCAAAGAAAACACAACAACATACATAATCCAGACTCTGTATTTTCCACCATTACATGGCTCATTTTCTTTATATTATTTTACTCCTCCTTCTAAGGACTTTATTATTTTAAATCTGTATTTTCAATTTAAGGCTTTATGTATTTTTTTCTCTTTTCTCTTGCAAGCCTAAGCACATCTTTTAAACACACTGTGACCTGTTTAGAGGCCTTTCTGTCTAAATCTGTTTTTACTGTGTTTCTTAACCCTTTTTGTCCATATGAGCAAAAGCTAAATCCACCATACATTGTGCTGGCAGGAATCTGTGATGCTGTAGCTCATGCTCACACACTGTGAACCCACCATCCTGTAGCTCAAGCCTGTATGTTGTGGCGTCTCTGTACTGTGGCCCACATGAGAGACTCAACTAGGAAGCTGTTTTTGGCTCTGTTTATGTGTTCTGGACCCCTCTCCCCCCTTTTAAGCTTTCTCAGGCTTTATATGTGGATATATGGGCCATAGGTTGGAGTACCATGTTCTTTCCTGTCTGCCAGTTCCTGAACAAACATTCAGAGGCTTATATTAATTATAAATGCTTGGCTGATGGCTCAGGCTTATTACTAGCTAGCTCAATATTTAAATTAACCTATATTTCTTATCTATGCTTTTCCACATTGTTCATAGCTTGTTACCTTATTTTCTACACATCTTGCTTCCTCAGCGGCTGGCTGGCAGACATCTGTCCTGACTCCACCCTTCTTCATATCTGTCTTCAGTTTGATTGTTCCGCCTAAACCTTATTCTGTCTGGCTGTTGGCCAAAACAGCTTTATTTATCAACCAGTGAGAGCAACACATCTTCACAGTGCACAGAAAGACCATCCCACAGCAAGTTGAACTTAAAAGCTTACATCCTGTGTCAGTTGAAAATGATGGAACACACAAGGAAAGCCCCTAATCCTTGAATCCTGATGGGGCAAAATTGTAACTGTGACTTGGCAACAGATGTTTATGGTATTTATGCTTGGAAACCCTGCTTCTGCCCCTTTTCAGGGCTGCCAGGAGAAACAATGCTCCTCAGTCCTTGCCCTGCAGCTCTGATTGATCAGCAACCACACTTGTGTGAAGACTTATTAAAGGCTTTGCTGTTTCACAAGCTCTCTCCTTCCTCATGTTTCCATGGACACAGTGTAATGAGTAGATGTCTGTCTCCCCAGAAATAGTATCACACAACATCCTGAAAAAGTTAGCAAATAAAATAAAATAAAATAAAAAATAAATGGGGTTTTGTTTTTGCATGGAGGCTAGATAGAGGTCAACTTTGAGTATATCTCAAGAGTTGTCTACCTTGTTTTATTTTTGAGACAGGTTCTTATATTGGGTCCTGGGGATCTTGATAGTCTGGCTGGCCAGTCTCAGGGACATTCTTATTTCTGCCCCCCTTCATATTGGGATTACAAACCCATACCACCACACCCAGCTTTTTACGTGGGTGCCAGGGGTAGAGGTCAAACTCTGGTCCTCATGATTACATGGCAAGTACTATACTGACTGAATCATCTCTGCAGCCTACATAAACTGTGGACATCTATAGACTTTCTATCCTTTATTTTAGTACTGTGCCATGTTTTCTGTACAGTCGTCTGGAGCCCTTAGCTTGAGTCCTGGCTGCCTATGGCCACATGGCCTTCCATGTTGTTCAGTCTTTTCAAGCTCATTTCTTTATCTGAAGGACAGAGACCTAACCATTCCTCAAACAATCCCAAGGTTCAGGTGAAACATCTCAGGAGAAAGTGGTTGGTATGAGTCTTGGTCCTGCTATTAACATCTCTAGAAAGCCACCAGCCCTGTGAACATGTCTTAAGGGTTTTACTGCTGTGAAGAGATATCATGACCACAGCAACTCTTATAAAGGGAAACATTTAATTGGGGCTGGCTTACAGTTCAAAGGTTTAGTACATTATCATCATGGCGGGAAACATGGTGGTGTGCAGGCAGATGTGGTGCTGGAGAGGTAGTTCAGAGTTCTACATTTTGATCTGCAGGCAGCAGGAAGTGAACTGGCTTGAGCTTCTGAGACCTCAAAGCCCGTCCACAGTGACACACCTCCTCTAACCAAGTCACACCTACACCAACATGGCCACATCTCCTAATAGTGCCACTCCCTATGGGCCTATGGGGGCCATTTTTTCAAACTACCACAGAGGGCATGGCTCCTTTAAGTCCCATTGGATCTCACAGACTCTTAAGAACAATGTATATACAGGCCAGCTCATTCTATCTTCAGGAACCCAGCAGAAAGTGTATTAGGCGTCCTAATCTGATCCCTATAGGCCTCAAAACTTGATTACCTCACACTATAAAAATTTAGGAGAATCACAATCACTAATAAGAGCACCCTTCTTTCAGATCCAGGGCTTTATACTCCAGTACTAAATATTCTATCTTTAAAGAAAATAACCCAATGAGGCATGGTTTTAAAAAAGGGGGCAGGGGGTGGGGGCGACGACAGATGAATAAAAGAAAGGAAAAGGAAGAATCCAAACACGCTCAAGTTCACAGCCTGAGAATTTAAAAGCAAGTTGATGACAGGCAGTCAGCATGTCTCTCCCCATCCACAGTACCCCAGATGGGACAGCAGAGGCCAGGCAGGAATACACCCAGGCTACACAGACCAAAACAAACAAACAAACAAACAAACCAACAATTTGATATAAACTGGGCTTGTTAGTTTATGCCTGTAATCCCAGTACTCGGATTAGGCAGGAGGATTGAGTTCAAGTCCAGTCTAGGCTATATATCTAGACCCTGTCTCAAAAACAAAAACAAAACAAACTCTAAAACCAAAAAAACCCCAAACATTGGTCCCATTAAAATAGCAGAGATTGCAACATCATCATCCAAAGCTAGAGGTTAAGTCCAGCTCAGATTGCCCATTTATCCTGGAACCACCTTATATTTTTATAAGTATACCATTAATTTTTTTTATATTAAAAGGGGTTATGCAATATTAGCTGTTATAGTTCGTGTGGTTGGGGTGCTAGGTAGCAATACTATTTCCTTAAAGCAGAATCTGAAAAGTCTCCTCACCTCTTCAAGGGTTTGGATTTCTGGAACTTTGCTGAATGAGAAAAGGGAATCTGGAGGCCTTTTTGGAAGCTTGTATGGGACACAGCTTAAAAACCATGTTGTGTAACTCAAAAGTCATTTTGTGTGACCTGAAATAATATGATGCTTGAGTTTGTCACCAGACAGCTTTGGTAAGAGCCAGCCCCCTGGCAGCCCAAATGGCAGCTCAGGATGGGCCTTGATATGCTAATAAGCTAACCAGAAGGTGGTGTTGATATGCCAATGAACTGTTATCCAAAGTGACTTCCCAATGAAATGACACAAAAATTAGTTTGGAATGGTCTCTAGGGTCACACTGCCAAGCTCCTGCAACAAGCCTCCTATAGCCTGTGTTGATACCAAGAGGACTTGAGACTATTTTTGTGGCCCTGGCCTCAGTGACCGCTGAACTTGTGGCACTATTGCTTGGCCCATTTTGGCCTGCCTGTCAGTGCTAACCATTGGCCTATATTCTCAAGGACCTCCTGGACTTCTACCAGTGCCATCCTCCCAGTCTACCACAACTGAAGGACTTCACAGTGGGCAGTGGTCAAGCCTGCACACTTCAAAAATGTATTCACTGGAGGTTACTCAGTGGAACCCTACAGCAGCAACTTTTTCCCCTTGGTTTTTTGAGACAGGGTCCCTTTGTGTAGCCCCGACTGTCCTGGAACTCAATTAGTAGACCAGATTGGTCTCGAACTCATAGAGATCCACCTGCTTCTGCCTTCCAAGTGCTGGGATTAAAGGCATGTGCTATAACCACCCAGCTGAGACATCTGTTTAACTTGTATATTGACATGATATTGTTAGGAATGTTTGTGTGAATAAACCAAGCATATCTGAAAGGCAAACTTTGTGTGGACATCCTGATTGCTGATTGCCTTACAGTCCATAAGCTCATGCTCTCTGAAAAGCCTTAAAAGTAGTCTGTTCAGAAAAAACAAAAATGAAGGGACTTATGTGTAAACCTGAAAGAGAAATGGACAGTTGAAACAATCTTCTATGTTTTACACACACCCAGCGGTGGGGTTGGCCACTCAGGTTGTTGATAGATTAATCCAAAGATATAAGTTCTGACAATAAAGCATTTTTCTTAAATAGTTAACAAAAATCAAGACTTGTACACTCTCAACTTAATTTTTTTGGGGGTGGGATGGGGGTTGAGATAGGGTTTTTCTGTGTAGCCCTGACTGTCCTGAAACTCTCTCTGCAGAGTAGGTTGGCCTCAAACTCAGAGATCTGCCTGTCTCTGCCTCCCAAGTGCTGGGATTAAAGGTGTGCACCTGCACTACCACCACCACCACCACCACCACCACCACCACCACCACCACCACCACCACCACACAGCTTTCAATTTAAAATTCTTATCTACACAAGTTTACAGTATTTATAAATAAGTTTCAACCAAACTGAATTATATTTACCAAACTATCTTCAGAGACAAAAATACTATCTAAGCTAGCTGACTTGAAAATCAAGTCAAATGTCAGACTTGTACATGACAAAGGATAAAGACAGGAGACACAACAGAATGGAACTTTGTCCAAACAATACAATGACCATTTAGGCAAATAACATTTTGATGGCAATACACAGATAAATTCAATACAGTCTGCAGGTCACTCTGCAGACAGGGCTGTGCAGAATGTTCAAGATGGGCAGTGAGCTGCATAGTGTAAGTAGAGACAGAATTCAGTACTATAAACTCATCAAGTGAGGAGGACCCCTGCCCTCACACCTCAGATGGCTCATAGGTGGCATTACACTGGCTGGAGGTGTGTGTGGGGTGCATATGCAATCTACAAATCCATAACCAGATGCCCCTGGACAGGTCTTACACAAGACCACTAATGAGCACACCCTCCAGGGCATGGACTAGATGTTGATAGCTGCCTCTGGCCATCAGTAAGTGGACTGAGGTCCCAAGGCCTCAACAGTAATTGGATAAACCAGGCTCACCCCAGACAATTGGCCAGATTGTCCAGGCAGCTTGGCCTGTGACCAGAGAGGCCACAGCACATGCAATGACATCAGGGAATGCCCTCCTTGCGCTGGCAGCACTGGGAGGGTGGCGCTGACCAATCATAGACATAGGAGAGGCGCAACTGCACCTCTTGCTTGCACAATCGGCCCCTGTGAAGCAGCGTCTGTTGCTTCTCCAGCATGTCCTCCGGGCTCTGTTTGTGTGTCACCAGGTACTGATTGCTGCAGCCCCGTGATTTGTACTCTGTGTCGAAGCGTGGGTCATGCTCCCGCTGCACATCCACTGGTGCCAGCCAGGCGCCCAGCGATACATCTTCACTGTGCCACGCGCGCAGGTATTCGCGGCTGAGGCGCAGGTAATGCACCAGGTCCGAAGAGAGGATGTACCCACCACCCAGAGCATAGGGCAGGTAGTAGTCGCAGAGTTGCCAGGCAGCTTCTCGCCAGCGACCTCCGGGCTTGACTCGCCCACGCCCAGAAAAGAAGCCCCAATAGAGGCGACGGCGACGTGCAGGCTCACGTGCGCGTAGCTCTGCCAATAGGGCGTCCAGGCGTGCAAAGGAGTCGTCATCCGCCTTGAGCACGAACTCGAAGTCCACGTGCTCGTCCAGCCAAGTCAACATGGCCAGGACCTTGGCCGTGAGGTTTTCGTAGGCATCGCGCAGGGCGGGCAGCAGCAGCAGGTCCCCGTGCTGTGCTTGCTCGAGCTCAAGAGTGCGCCGCTCCTCTGTGCCCAGGCCACTGGTGCCTACAGCAAAGCGCGCCCACACGTCCTTAGGGCCGCCGCGCCTCCCCTGTGCCAGCCACGTGCTGCGCACCGCGCTGCGGCGCTCAACCGCGCGGGGCGCACTGGCCACTAGCACTGCCAGGAAGGCCTTATCGCGGGGTTGAGGGGCTCCAGCGGCTGCGGGCGTCTCGCCCTCGGAAGCACAGCGCGCCAAATACAACAGAGTGGTGCTGCAAAACGCCAGGCCGCTTAGGGCCAGCACCACTCGGCGCCGCCATGCGCGCCGGAGTACCTTCATGGTGCGGGAGGGAGGGCGCCGAGTACGCAGGCGCGGAGGCTGGAAGGCCTCTACGCTACTCGGAGACCCACATTGCGGGCTTGGTCTGGTAGTGGTAGGAGGAGTCCCAAAGCACCCAGTGACTGAGTGCTTGGACTTCCAGGATCTGACATCCAGGGCGTTGTTGAAGGCGAGGCCTAGGTCAAGGATCCTTGACACGTGACCATGCGCGCCATTTTTATTGGTTGTTTCTCAGCGGCTGCTTCCGCCCATGAAAAAGATGGCGGCGCCGAGATTCACGCCTGAGGCCGTGCCACCTCTCACGGTTCCTGGTTGTCTTTCTCGCCCTTTCCCGGAAGAAAGATGGCGGCGGCCTGAGCCTAGGTCCGCGTACGACTTCGCGGGCGCCCAGCTGCGCTCCCCAGACCCGGCGCATCAGAAAGCCGGGGGTGAGTGAGGGGGGTCCCTGAAGCTGCTTTGTGAGGGGCGGGCTTGAAGGCCACTCGTCCACTATTTGGGTTGCTTTGGGTCTCAGCCCGCTTGACCCCTCGATCTCCTTGTTAAGAGTGCGCCCGCCCTCTTGCCCGGCTGCTTCTTCCGGAACTCTTGGTGCCGCGGGCGATTGAGGCTCGGGGCTCTGTTACCGGCTGACGTTGTGCCCTCAACTTGAGGTCCAGCATCTTTAACTCGGTTTCATCTTCGGTAAAATGTGCGCCATGAGTTCTAGTAGTACGAGTTGGAAATCGAAGGCCTGTGTAAAACCTTCATACCTGGCCCGGCTCTGGTGGTAGTTCTCTTTGGTACTATTGAGTGCAGTTCCTAAATTGACAGATCTTTTATTTATTTTTATTTACATTCTTATTTTTGTGTTGCTGGAGGAGATCGAATCCAGGACCTCACAAATGCTGGGCAAATGCGCTACTCCTGGGCTAAGATACCAGCCCCTAACAGTTTTTGGACTGTTTTAGAAGATGTTGTTGTTTTTTAGATTGTGATGGTCTTTTTTCTTCTGATTTTTTTCTTTATTTTCTCCTTTTGTTGTTGCTATTGTTCGTTTTGAGACAGGGTCCCATGTAGCCCAGATTGGCCTGAATTTACTATGTATCTGAGGTTGGTCTTGAACTCTTGATCCTCTTGCCTGTAATCCCAGCATGCAGGAGGTTTGCCACACTTTCAAGACTAGCCTGGTCTACTGAGCACATTCCTGGCCAAGCAAGGCAACATGGTGAGACCCTGTTTCAAAACAAAAACAAAAGCAAGCAAACAAAAAGAAATGTTTCACTGGAATTGTAATGTAAGGGTTGCAAAGAAGTACAAGTATTCCCCCAACCATCCTGTGGGTGCCTGAAACCTGAAACCTCAGCCCGGCAGAAGTGGCTCACCCCTATTCCCAGCACAGAGGCTGGCGGATCTCAGTGAGTTTGAGGCCAGCCTGGTCTACAGAGCGAGTTCTAGGATAGGCTCCAGAGCTATGCAAAGAAACCCTGTCTTGAAAAACCAAAACAAACAAACAAACAACAACAAAACCCCCCTGAAACCACAGGTTTATTCCTATACATAGTTACAGCAAAATTTAGTTTATAAAGTAGGCCCAGGGAGAGATTAACAACTAATCATAAACTAGAACATTTGTGACTTACTTTGGTAAACGTCATTGGACTACGATTGATGACAGGTCAAGAGGTACCATTGTCACCTTCACTGCAGGTGTTAGTATCTTCTCTGTTGACTACTTGTTGAGAACCTGATGTGTGTAGGGGCTATGACAAGATAAAGCTCCTTGAAATCCTGACTTAGGGATTTCAGGTCAGGTGGGGAGGAAGCAGCTGCCCAACTTGTTTAGCCATGTGGCAAACTTTTGCATTAAGATAAATAACCATTGTGGGATAGTAGTGGGGAATGTTGTTCCATGGCAGAAAACTTGTCTAGCATGGGCAAGGAAAAAAAACTGAACCAATGTGAGAAAGTCAGCTGATGGAGTCCTGGTTGCTTTTGGTTGCATTTTCTGTAAGATGTATGAGTAACTGACTGTTCCACATAGTTTATCAAAATAGTTACAATGAGAACTTTGTTCTTTAAAGGAGCAAAGTACAGTTAATACTAGGAGGAAGTTGCCTTGGTTCTGGTGTTTACATGGTCAGAAGAATAGAAACATGAGGAATACAGCTATATCTCAGGGCTTCTTGCCCTGAGTAACAACAGACTCCTTTAGCTCCTGGCTATTGGCAAGCTGTACAACATCCCAGGACACATCCTAAGTACTGTTTCATTGGCTTTACTCTATGCTTTTGAGTAATATTTAGTGTTTCTGGAGACAGCATTGATTGAATGTCTTTTAGGTTTTAATAGCTTGGCAATGTTGGGATAAAGAAACTAAGTCAGACAGAGTCTTTTCCAGGGGCAGAACGGGAGACAGCTCCCACACATAGGTGGGACTAGGTTGCACTCGGAAGGCCAGCAAATAGGCAAGAAGATAGACTGTGGGAAGAAAAATGTGTTTTCCATGTTCTGGTCAAATAAGACTTACTGGACACTTCAACTTTACTAATGTTTCTTGGTGAACATGAGTGAAGAAATACGTTGATGCAGGCACAAGTATAGATGTATATGTATATAGATGTGTAGTCTCTGCTGGGTTGGTACAAGTGTTTGCTGATGACCACAATTTTCAGTTGTTCAGCACATAGTGTACATAGGTCCAGCACAGAGTGTACATAGGTCCCCACTCCACACAAAACACTGAGGTGGAAACTATGGGATGATTAGTGAGAAACAGACACAGGGAAGTCAGATTACTTAACCAAGGTCTCAGAGCTTGGTGTTCAAGTTGGGATCTGGAGAGTGAGTGACCACAGCCATATGCTAAATACTGTAATAGTAATCAGGGATGGATGAGGTCAGATTTGCTTTGCTGTATTGTTGGCAGGCTATACTGTTGGTATGTGGGGGTAAGGTACTGGATAGATCAGCACCTGGAAGTAGTAACAAATTTGAGTTGGAACTTCAGCCTGGCCAAGTGCATTCCTCTGTTGCAGAATATTTGTTTAACTATGCAAAGATGTATGTTGCATTTGTTTAGCTATGTAAAGATGTGTTGCTGTTTTACCCTACTTGCCTAAGGCACCTGATTGGTCTAATAAAAAGCTGAATGGCCAATAGCCAGGGCGGAGGTATAGGTGGAACTTCCAGGCAGGGAGATTAAGTTGGAGGAGGAATTTAGGATCAAGGAGAAAGAAAAAGAGACGACAGGGAGATGCCAGTGGCCAGACAGATAGACACAGAGGAATCAGGAAAGTAGGACATACAGAATGAAAGAAAGCCTCAAGGCAAAATGTAGATGAATAGAAACAGCTTAAATTAAAAGAGCTAATGGGCTGGGCGGTGGTGGCCTTTAATCCCATCACTCAGGAGGCAGAGCCACGTGGAATCTCTGTGAGTTCAAGGCCAGTCTGGGCTACAGAGTGAGATCCAGGACAGGCACTAAAACTACACAGAGAAACCCTGTCTTGAAAAACAAAAACAAAAAACAAAACAAACAAAAAAAGCTAATGGGACAAGCCTAAGCTAAGACTGAGCATTCATAATTAATAAGTCTCTGTGTCTTTATTTGGGAGCTGGTTGGCAGCCCAAAGAACATTCCTCCAGTTTCTTTTTTCTTTTCTTTTCTTTCTTTTTTTTTTTTTTAAAAAAAGATGTATTTATTTATTATGTATACAGTGTTCTGTCTGCATATACACCTGCATGTCAGAAGAGGGCACCAGATCTCATTATGGATGGTTGTGAGCCACCATGTGGTTGCTG